TATTGTTGAGGGACCGGGTATTAAACAGAGTGAGCTTCATATTGCAAAATGTAATGAAAAACGGGGATGTGAGCTGACGTCAGATGGAAACAATCACAATAAGTTGATCCTGATCAATTCTGGATTGTCGTGAATATCCTCATAAGAGTAATTAAAAAAGCCGACTAGTTTGCTATCTAGGTAGATAGTAGAAAAGACGCCTTACAATCAAAAAAAATGAAATGTGATCATATCAATTTATGAATTTGTTCCATTATCTGTTGTGCACAACAATTATGTTCACTATTAAAACAAAAGTGTAATTTTAGTCATGCAATACAAACATACTATATATTTTGTTCTCAAAAATAATGTCAGGTAACATTTCTATATGTTTTGATCATATTTGGATGATAACCGGGGTAATTGTGAATTTAAATGATTTTCTCCATGTCCAGGGGCCGTTGATGCGTCCCGCGGTGAGGGCCACTCAGGGGACATGGCTGCGGTGGTGGTCCCGGTGCTGTTCCTGCTGCTGCTGGGGGTCTGCGGGGGCTTGGTGGCGCTCTACCTCCGACACCGCCGTCTGCAGAACAATTTCACCGCCTTCGCAAACTCGCATTACAACTCCCGCCTGGGCTCGGCCATCTTCTCCTCCGGGGACGATCTGGGTGAGACCATTAAAATACTTTTCAAATGTAGACCCGCAATGCAAACCATCAGGGGTGGGAGGGTTACTTTAAAAAAAAAAATCTGAGTATCAAAATATATTGGTGATGTAATCTGATTACTTTCCATTGCTTTTGGATAAACTCAATATCAAATGCGATGCAAATAAAAACTATTAGAAAATAAATAACAATAAGATGTTTTTTTTACTGAAGTGTATGTAACAATATAACCTTAAAAAAGAAAAAAACAAGATATTCATATAAAAAATGTAGTAACAGTAATAGTTTACAAATGCTGTTTAAGCTTAATATATTCATCCAAAAACTACTGTTATACTGTATTGTATTTAAAGCAAAGAAAAATGTAATTAGCTAATATAAACATAAGGAAATTCATTATGTAGGTCTCTAATTATGATTTTAGTAAAAATGATTTATAACATTAAATCATGCTAGTATCTCGTTTACATACACTATTACTATTATCCTTCTTAGTTCTGTACATAGTTGACAATCATATGTACACTCAGCGATTCTATTGCTAGCTTCCAAAAGTGTACGAACGCGTTGTAGCTAAGGCGGGAATTATCGGGACCAAGTGTTGCAATCACAACGGATCAGCAGCTAACCATCAGAGGCGACTGGGCTCGTTTCAGACGAGTAAGAGGTGCTGCAGCACAGGCAGTATGAGAACAATAAAGAGCTTTTTGAACATTAAAGCATGGAGACATGTCACAGTAGAGACACTACATACCAATATGACCCTGAACATTTGCATAACAGGGCTCCTTTAACTTTGATCTCTCTCCTCTTCGTTTCAAGGTGATGATGATGAAGATGATCCCATGATCAGCGGTTTCTCAGACGACGTTCCCATGGTCATCGCGTAGCAAGACGTCCCTCCATTAGCTATTTCTCTCTTCTCTTCTCCCCTTCTCTTCTTCCGTCTGCTTTACTCCCCTTTACTCCCCCTCAGTGGTGCGGTACGACGGAGTGAGGAGGAAGCAGGCGAGCACTCCTCCATCCCAAAGCCGTCGAAGGGATACCACCTTAATTAGCAGGAAACGTGAAGAAAAATGGAAAAGTGTAAAGAGAGAAAGAGATATTTTTCAAATATACAATGCACTTTTTTTGGATGCGCAATAACTTATTTTTTATAATGTTAAATATATATATATGGGGTCACAAAAGGACTGGGAGAAAAAAAAAGTGGACACTGAAGCAAACTGTGAAGGATTTGAGTTTGTCGAGACCCTGTTTGTAATGCAAACTCACTATCCATAGGGCGGTTCATTGCTTAAAGCCAAAATAACCATCCACAGACTGTAACATAGAATGCAAAAAAAACACACACATAGGAAAAATAATACAAATATATAGACAAATGATGTATCGAAGATGTATGAAAAGAAAAGATTAGAGCAGTAATGGTAACATATATTGGTAAAAGCACAATATGTACTATACCAGTATATGTTTAAATTGGTGCCCCGTGTGAGGCCGCCTGACGAGCCAATCATGTTTCATCCTTTACAGAATCTGAATAATGTGTCGATTTCAATGATCACCGGTTTGGAAACTGTCTATTATTGTAAACCCATTAACAAGTCTTTGAAACTTACCTGAAGAGCTGAGTAATGGGATCGTCCAATGGCACCGTGTAGTGACCTCACACCTTTATTTTTCCACCACCAGCACACACTGTTGTTTGTCTGTATGTAGATGCAAAAGATAAAAGAATGTTCCTATCCCCCACAGTGAAATCCAGATCATCGAATCTATTTGTAAATATTGGCTTTTAATATGTCCTCTCCTTGTAATGCTGCACCATAATTCTGTAAATGTGTTTTTTTTTTTATCATTGTGGACCACACATTTTTCGTCCCCAGCATTTTGCCATTGCTGTAGTCGTAGAGAAAGGTTCTCAGGGAACTGTGTCGGAGCGGACACCAGCGCAGCGACACCATCACCTCCAGGGCTCAGGCAAACTCATCTACTGCTGGACAGGTACAGAGACCTCTGAAGAGGCACTGGCAGTGACCGGAAGAGGCTGATTCAGTTCAGTTGTGATGAAGAGTCAGGTTTGGGCTTGGCATTGAGTTCAGAAAAAGATTAAGAGGGTTGATTCGATCATAAAAGAAAACATGTTTTGACCTATCTTTAGTAGTGTCTAGTGTTGCAGATAGCTTCTAGATGCATCTGTGAACTTTAACAGCGACCTGTATTTCCAGAAGCTGTTTGCTAGTTGCTCGAGCTTGATTTTCACAGGCCTGACTTTCTGATGCGAAACAAGAACCTCTGAAACTGTTGACACCATTTCTAAACCCTGGTATGCATGGTCAAATACATTTATTAATCAAGGTACACCATGTGGTACTGAAGTCTTGTTGAAATGCTGACTTCTCGTGGGGCTAGCTGACCATTTACTGTAGGAAGCTCACCATGGCCTTATCTTGGCCTTTAACCAGAAACAACGTTAAAGATCAAGCTTTTTGTTCTCACTTTTAGGTATTATTTTTATAACGATATAAAAGTGCTCATCTTTTGAATTACATTTTAGTAAGCCAGAAAACAAAACATACAATATTTATTTCTGCAAAAAGCTCTCTTGTTCCTAAAGACTGGCTATATCAATGTTCGGTCTGGTCATTGATTGACGACAACTCCTAAAATGAGCTCTGTGCTTGATTAGCAAATGAGTCTTAATTTTCCACGGTATAGGAAGGTGATTTAATTTGCTTTGTTGTCATTTACCAAGTCATAATTGTTTGGTGGATTTATTTAGCTTTGATGAGGGAATCAAATTAATATGATGTTTTAATGGAAATAACTAGATTTTTTTACCTAAAATGTAATGTTACGGTTATTGGTGTAACTGGGCCAACAGTTTCTGGAAACATACATTCTTTAAAAACATTTAAAAATTGTATTATTTAATTCTGTGAGCAACACATTTTTACTAACCTGCATTTTATTGGTGTGGAGGCTGAGAGCCACATCTCAAAAACTGGTCAGGCGAAACCTTAAAAAGAAAGTCATGGCTAGACACTAAGTGTTAGTGACAAATCGTGTTTTTTTGTTATTTGAATGGTCCTTTTAATTAGCAGTTAGTACCAGTTGAGCGATAAAACATTATGAGGATCATCGTCTTAGTTCTGCTCGTGCCCCCCAACCTGACACTGGTCTATGAACAGATGTTTGGCCTGAGCCATTTGAACTGATGGTGTTCTGCTTTCTATTCACCTTGTTGTTTTGTTTGTTAGGATGTCTTCATGAATGTATTTTATATCTGTACTTTTAAAGTTACTGTCCCAGCTCATTATGCTACTAAGTGAATGCACACTCTCTGGTTTTACTGTTGCTACAGTAACGATGTAACCCATTCAATATGGACGACAGACTTTGTGTTTGCACTCTGTAGACTGGCTTCTGCAGACGAGTCTTAGTTTGTTCAACCCAAGCCCAATTCCCCAACCCAGAGCAACAAACTATTTTTTTCAGGAAGAGTCCAGATATTCATTTTTTGTTTAGTTTACCCAAAATCATTAAACAGTGTCTGTTCTGACATTAATTTGAAGGTTTCCTCAAGACTTCAGCTTGATTTCACGCAGCTCTCCACCATGTTCATCATTTAGTTTGTTGGCCTTAAAATCAGATGTTCTGGCATTAATGCTGTTTTTTGCTCTGTGGAGTTTCTGTTCTCTGATGTTCTGTTTTGCCACATAATGCCTTATTAGAACACATTGGGTTTCTATGTAATGTACTGTTTGTATGATAGAACACAAGTGCACACGCATGCAAACACACAGTCACACACAACCCTGTACACACAGCTAAGCAGGCGGAAAAGTTGGCTAATATTTGGGCATTTGGTTGATTTTGTCGGATCACTGCTCCTTCCTGCGCTGGCTGCTAAGCCGGCCGCTCTATCTCTTTTTAGTCAGAGTTTACACGTGTACAAAGTTTAATTATTGGTTATCATGTGACCGTTTGCTCCCCACTTGTCTTAATGTTGACTCTTGTCAAATAGTTTGCTTAAAAATGTTGTCAGAGTTTGATCATGTTGGCCATGTTTGAAGATTTTAATGTCTTGCTTGCTTATCTCGGAGGTTGCAAGAACAATGAGACGTTGGAGAAACAGTGTGAGGTGTTTTAAAAAAACAAACACTTATACTGAAATAAAGTTGCTGAAAATCAAACTGTCGACTATTTGTTTGTGTAACGTGGTTAAAGATGTCAGTTAAAGAGGTAGAAAAATACCATATATGTTGTTATTAAGAAAAGCAGGGAGAAGATATGGTTTATTTTATGATGAAACACACTGCAGCGTTCAGATGGCAGGCTCCCACAGGTCCAGCATGATGAACATTCAACAGATCCCTGAGGAAAACAGAAGGCGCCCTGAGAATGACCCTGGTTTGAAAGAAGAAAATGCATAAATTATAATCGAATATTCGCAATAAATATAAATTAAATGCATTTGAAAATTCAAAAACCAAAACAGGATATATTAAGGTCATTTTCTAATTCTATCTTTGAATCATTGATTTCATATTTGCGGAATCATACCACTTTAAGAGCTGCAACGATAAGTCCTCTTATCGATTCGTTGATACTATTCAACAACTATAAGAATAATTGAATGGGTAGATCTGAACTTACCAAAAATATACATTTAAAGGAAATCTTTTATGAAATTGTATAGACTAAACAATCCAAGTCAAGGTTCCCAGCATATGATACAGCTATGATACAACAGCTCCCTCAACAGGGTAAAAGATGCCATGATGCCTGAGCCAAACCTAAAAACAAGAGGAAAAGTTTCATTTGAATTTCAAACTTCAAATGCTGTAAACAAAACTTGCCTCAAAATGTCTTGTTACCTTTATTTATTTAAATGTGCTTATAAGCATTTAAATTGTTTGTTGCTGATTTTATATTTTTTTTAAATGCATCGATACAAAGCTGGAGAAATGTCATGTTTCCTCAGGGTAAATGGTTCAAAAGCACTGTACAGAAAAGTGCATTTTTCCTGTTATGCACTTTCCACTTCACATTCATAATCATTACATCATTAAACTGTCATCACTTCTGCTTTTTTTTAAAGGTCAAAAAACATTTCCGGATCTGTATTTAATGTTTGCTCGTCCACAACTAGCATTCAGCCTCTCTTATCAACATGTGTGAGTTTCATCATTCCAACTGACCCCTATCACATTAAACTCATTGGTTTGTTCCATTGTTCACATCAAAATACTGATTAGTGCAGTACGTCTTATGGCTGGAAACATGACTAACAGCCAGGGGATGAGAGGATTATTAAACAACACAAGAGACTCAGTGAGGGCTCGGTTCATTTCTGGCTCCAAAGTATAGTTTCCAGTCCGGACTGATGATAATGTCTGTCATTGAAAAGACTCGTAAAGTAACATAACGTTCCAAATTATTCCCATCTGACAGGCTGATCAGGAAGAATAGATGCACTTTAGGAGGTTGAACTGTCTCGTTATGAAATATGAGATCTCAATTTGAGGATTGAATAATGAGCTGTTCCCGGGGCTGGACTGAGGTAAACACTATTTTTTAAAAAAAGAAAAAAAGGCAGGGGATGTGTACAGTTTCTAAAGCAACAACAGCTGTCAGACAAGAAGAGAGAGTGCTAACATGCAGACACACATGCAGTGTGTGAAAAATAAACTAACATCTTTCCAAAAGTCGCAATATCTAATTCAACAGTCTTATGAGTAAAGGTTCTACAAATAAACACATTTCTTGATGCAAGTACAATTAGAAAAGTTGCACCAAAATATACTATGCATTAACACCTAATTATAATTAAAATGATTTAACTGGTCAATTTTGCCAGATTTGTTTAAAGTGTTTGGCCTCTAACTATGACACATGTTAACAATGTCTCATATATCAGAATATAAAGGAAAATGTATATGTTTTAAATTATCTATAAAGTAACAACAAAGTAGATCTTTAACATAAATAGCCAGTGGAGTAAAAAGTGCCATGTCAGTCTTTTAAATGTAGTGTCAAAAAGGTACATAAATTACAAAATATTCAAGCGGGTCCCTTTGATATACACTTTGTAGAATAACGTTTATTTGTTGGCCAAATATGAATGATTTTGAAACTTTCCTTTTTAAATATCCCCCAAAGCATTCCTTATCAGCAGTCAGGAAGTGAATGTTTTTAAAGCACCCAAAAATAGCACTGTTGGAAAATAATTGCTAATCTAAAAATAGATAACTCCTTTGAAGGGCAGTTTGGTCCTCATGGAATCTATTTGTGTCACTGTTGGTATATCTCAAAGAGGAAATCGGTGTTCGGCTCGTAGGGCCCCAAGATGGGCCTCAGGTTCAGAAGAACAAAGATCTACTCTGGACAAAAGCATCCTCTGATAGTCAGGTGGCTGTGTCTGTGCCAGAGAAAGCCACCAGGGGGCAGGAGAGCCTCTGCAGACATATCAGGGGATGTTCTATTAAAGCTGCACTTCATTCAGTCTGATGGGTCTGTGTCATTTTACTGCAGATCAGAGTTTAAAACAGTTAAAAGGAGCGTGCATATGTTCTAAAAATGACCCAAGGAAACAAAAAGCCTCCACTGAGTGTGAGTGTGTGAGTCAGCACGTCTGTAGGCCAGTATCAAACATGAGGTTTTTGCACTCATTGACCTGCGGAGGGTTATGTTGCATCACCAGGTGGCTGAAGCTGAAGAGCTGAGGCCCCTCAGCATTAACATAGCTTCAGTTAGTTTCATGTCACAGCAATGGGACTCATATCGTTTTAACTTGCACTTAAATGCAACGCATGCATAGCACATCATTTATAAAAAAAGGAAAAGTAAGATGTGTTTTAGTTTCTCAATGTATTTATGCTTGTATAACTATTGTTGGCTAAATGTATGTCTATTAAAAAGGCTTTTTGATGTTTTCCCTCTCATGTCGTGTGTTATTTAGGTTTGTTTGCATGTAAATGGTCTGCAAAGTCTAAAATCCCTGTGTTCCCTCCAGATGGAGTTTCTTTTTATGGAGTCCGACATTGTTCCTCAACCTCTTCAACAGTATTTCTTTCACAGAGGAAGTTATCCTCTCCTTTGATTGGTCGGTGGAAAGTTCCTCGAAAACAGTGAAAGCATTCCTTTAATAACCTCAGCAGTAATGTTTAGGTTTGGTGGGGAACACTGGCAGTGTGAGGAGATGCACTCGCTGCCCTCTCTTGTTCACTTCAGGCTTGGTGATGTAACATCACTGGCATTAGAATATCCAGTTTTCAGAATCGTACATTTTCTGCTCAGAACTATTTAGTACTTTCATGCTCTGCGTGAAATAGTTACAGCTTGGATTGCATGTTTTTGCAACAGCAACAGGCGGTTTCATTGCAAAGGAGGGTCAGCATTACTGAGAGTTGGATAGATTGATTCTAAAAGCACATAATTCTTTATCAAACTTCAATGTCATCTTTTCCTACTTGAGAAACAATCAATCTTGTTTTACTCCCTGACTCCTACAAACCTTTTCCACCAATCCGGGCCATGCATACTCATCTCATACTGCCTGTGCTGCAGCACCTCTTTTCACCCTCTGTCTGAAACCAGAGCCCAGTCTGTTGTGATTGGTTAGCTGGCCGGCTCTGTTTTGATTGGTCAACAGCTTAGTGATGTCACATCCCTTAGCCTATCACTAACAATGTGTTGGAGCTCTAGCCAATAGAAGCTTGATTGTTACATAGTGATGTCACTATGTTACAGAAATAAAGAAAGGAGTTCAATGGAGGCGTTTCAGTCAAGGGAGAGTGTTTGGGGGAGAAACTCCCTCTGGAGGGAGCACAGGGATTTTAGCCTTTGCAGACCATTTACATGCACAGAAACACAACACTACAGGAAAGGAAAACCCCCAAAAACACAATAGGGCCCCTTTAAAGTTGATTAATATATCATGCTGAACAGGACTGCATACTGCAATTATGATAATAATTTTAACTAGTTTCCCATGTTATTTAAGAGTCTGTTCACACTGATTAAGGCGTATTACAAAATAAACATTTTAAGGTGGTAAAATACAATTTTAAAAGGCAATTAAAAAACTGTATTTTTGACCTGAGGATGGCACTAGAAGAAAATCAGCGGCTAACCACATTTATGAGGATACATCTGTAAAAACAATATTTCCTAATACATGTAGTCAATGTTACGAATAATGCAACCACTTGTCAAAAGTCAGAAAAGGTCAGACTGCAAAACACACACACACAAACACACACACACACACACACACTCACACTCACACTCACACTCACACTCACACACACACCACAACACAAACCGCTCCTCTCACTCTCCTAAGGTCAACAGGTTCCTGACTGTTTGTGATTGGCTTGGGTCAAAGGTCAATAGACTGGAGGCCATCAGTGCGGGGTCAAGAACAGGTGGGAGCCTGTGAGAGAGGAACACGAACAACAGAGAGGAGTGTGAGGAGAGGAGAACCCACTGGAGAGTCAGTCTGAGAAAGCCTCAGTCCTCAGATCGCTGCTTCACCTCCATGCTCCACTGGAGGACAGTCATCATCTCATTGGAGGAGGAGATCACTGATCCAACACCAGCTCAACCAGACATGTGCTTTTCTACAATCAGCTGATCTTATATAAGATTGTAGCTTTTCAGTGAACTAGTGCAAAGATAAAACTTCTTTTTTTTTAAAGACAAAGCAGAAGCATTGTCATGCTTGAAGTCACATATACTTCTACACATGGGGAGACCCAGCAGTAAGGGTTATTGCTACAACCCTAAACTAAAAAAGCTGAACTGTAACTTTAGTTAAATGAGCCAGGGGGAGCTTGGCTCCCCTAAAGAGGGAGGGAGCTCCCCTGAAGGCCGACTTTGAGATAAATAAGGGGAGCCCAGAATAATCGCGAATATTTGTGTCACACAGATTAGAAATGTTGAGTTTCTGTAAATAAAATTTCTTGAAATAAATAATAGTCATTCTTCATTACAGTTTGTGAATATTTGTGAATATTTCTGGGTGTTGCCATATGTACGTGGCTGCGTTGCATTCTTTACGCCTATGGTTACGGCGGTGATGCCGGCACGGTAACCGCGGTGAATTTAGTTTTAGGTTGGATATTCGACGGACATTCGCGGACCCGCCAGCAGCGTCAGTTTCCCGGACCCGCCGGCAGCGTCAGTTTAACGGGGAGATCTTCTCCGCGAAACGAGGCTTTCACTTAGGGACCATCAACAAATGACATTTACAATTACACAAGAAAAATGTTCTTTTTAATAAATCGACAGCTTCTCGATCGTGTGAATGTGAAGCAAATTCACCCTAGTGCATACATTTATTGAACAAACCTCTTTTTATTGCATTTAATACTTTAAATAGGTTTTATTAATATTTTTGATGGAAACATTTGCTTATTTCTTCAATAACTTCCAGGTCATGTGACCGATTCACTCAAAATCAGTGCTGGGTCAAAGAACTACACTGGCTGCATAGGACACACCTCTTTTTATTGCATTTTAANNNTCCATCAAATAAAAGTTTTATTATTGTCATTATACTATTCCAATCATTACTACAGTTATTTGTTATTATTGTTACGGTAATTGTTGTCAGTAACTTTATTATTCATTTAAAAAATTGACTAAATAATAAATTGAAAAATTAGTAGTAGTTCCTGCCTCTTCACCAATTGTTGTGTGTCAGGAAAGTACAGTCACTAGTGTATAACCATCACTAGTTTTAGAATTGTCAGGGATCTTGTTTTTCGTCTCTAGACAGTCGAATTCACGTCGAAACTGTGTACTCGTGGCCAGGTCACGTGGGAAAGACTGTCAATGTCGCCTAGTCGAGTACCCGTTCTGAACAGACAAAGTCCCTCTCAACAGGTCTCACCGACGGTGGGTCACCAAAGAAAACAGGTCCGGGGTTAGTCTACCGAGACCGTAGAAGACCCAGGGCCCCTGGTCACTGACCAAGGTTTTGCAATCGGACTTCGTTCATGGTGACTACACGACAAACTCCCGTCGGACCCAACCTCCCTACAAAAGAATTTGAGGACCTGAAGACCCTCTTTTTCGACAAGGACCGTAGTAAGTCGAAGGTACGTGAGTGAGCAAGCCAGTATGTACTCGTGGTGCCTTAGAATAGGTCGTCAATTGTACCTTAGAAGTGACTGGAGTGAACCGTACGTGTCCTCAAGGACCTTCCGTAGTGCCTGGAGACCCTTTCTGAAGGTAGAGAGGGCCCTTAGAAGAAAGGTGCCGGCGTTTACGTCTGTGCCCACAGTGTAGGTCACTTTCGCACTTTTCTGTCCCTCCTCAGTCCGTAACCTATCAAAAAAACCTCAGTAACACCGTTGGTAAAGATACTTATCGCATTTGGCCTTGAGCTGGGTGTGTGGTTTCCTTTGGGTGTCAAGTAGCCCTCGGATAACAACGATTTTGTTCGGTGACGGTTGTTGGTGGTGTAGACATAGGTTGCCATGCATACCCAGCTGGAAGATGTTGGAAATACGTGTCGCAGACGGTGTACGTCTTCATCGGCCCACAGACCGGAGCAAGACACACTTGTACCCGGTCTTTTTTTTTTTTACGTCCAGTGTGTACTTAGCCGTCCTCCTCGTCTCCTGGAGGTCAAGGTAGAGAACGTAGTCAAGGAACCGGGACAAGATGACCGTCTGAATGCCGAAGAGCCCGGTCCTTCCTTTAATTGAGACAAAAACAAAAGTAGTGTAGCTTCTTCAGAAAGGTCAAGAACCCGTAGGTGTCAATTCCCCTCGGTGGGAAAAGGAGAACGGTAAAGGGGAGAAGACAGAACAACTTCGAAAGTCCGACCGTCTATCCATATGAGGGTCTGTTCCAGTTGTGCCTACGAATGGAGATCAACTCGCTCTACATACCATACTTGTGACCAAAGAGGTATGAGAACTTTACAAGAAGCTATTGAAACCTAAGTCGTAAACTTGGTGTCGACGTGGTAGATCTTAATGACGTAGTCAGAATCCTTGTGAGTAGCTAAAGTTGGTCTAACTGAGGTCCCGTCGCTTCGTCAGAGAAATTGGGGCTTTGGCTTTCAAAAAGGAGGACTGTCTCGACCTCCACGACGGACCAAAAGCACCTTTTTCTTCACCAAACTACAGAGGTAGAGCACCTTAAAACTGTACTCTACATGTAGGAACTTTTTTCCTGGTGTCAGTGAGAAGTCACGTCGCTCAACACGAAAGAGAAAACTAAAAACTGGAAGGTCAACCAGACGACTTATCACCGTTGAAAAAAAAACCTTCTCCCACACACCTATCCACAACATGGTGGAAAGGTTCGAAACCCAGTGTTTGAGCCCACATGACGAGGAGTGGTTACCATATTTAGGAAGAATGTCATAGTCGTTTTGAACCCATAGTGATACATAGAACACAGTTACCTGATTTTCCTAGAACCGACGACAAGATCTGTACCTAAGTGTAGAGAAGGTCGTGGCACTGTTCACGGAATTGGAGGAAGTCCTTATCACCGAACGTGAGGTCGCAACGACCAGTACCCAAGACTAGGTGACCCAGTGTACGACAACCACACAACGGAAAGAGTTTGAGAAATCACTAGGACCGCTAAAGACCAGGACGTGGGGTAGGTCGCAGCTACGGAAGACCTTAACGGTCAGTCAAGGCTATCGGGGTGGTCTTGGAAACTGGTACCGTAACAAGACAAGGTAACGTGACCGTTCACGGTACCGTCTCCTTGACCACGACCAAAACACGTGTGCTTACAGGTCTGAACTTAAACGGTCCTAGTAACCCAACAGACAGGCGTTCTTCAGTAAGTCATAGTGCCTACACATGCCCTTCGGTAGACGACATCACACACCTAGGTCCCGCTGTTGTAGGTCCCGTACTAGACACAATCCCTAAGGTGCATGTCGACCTTCAACGGAAGGTCTACTGGAGTACATAGGCGTTTTGCTCTTCGACGTTACTGTCCCAGAGATACGGTATCAGTTTCACTGTCGTGATCGAAGACGAACAACATACGTGGTGGAGGAGTTTTCTATCTGACAGTCCCCCGGTACCGTAGACATAGTAGTCTATACGTTAAAAGTAACATACGAGCAACGTCATCACATATCCCGAACGTCGACACTGGACCACACGTACCGCCCAGTAACCACTGTACAAACCGGTACATACTTCCTAAACGACAAGGTCTGAACGTTAAGCGGACCTGGTCTCCGTAAACAGGTGGTGACAGAAGATCGGTCAGAGTCCGTTGAAGTTGTATCGGTAAAGCTACACATCTGGTGGTTTGTACTAGTGTTTCACTAGAAGAAGGTATTCACAGACCGGTACCAGGGACATGAACAAATCGTCTCTCGTATGTCACCAACCAGCGTTCGTTACTGTCCTTAGACTGGTCTAAGTGTACAACTTAACGAGAAAATGCTAAAGGTATCTCACGGCTTAGCTACGATTGACTTAGCACGTAAAGTTCTTTCTCTTCCATTAATTACGTAACTAAACGACGTCCTCCCTACTGCGTACCACCTTGTGTCCGTACCATCCGTCTGGTGCCATAGTACGGTAGTTACCTGACTGCAAAGTTGTCGACAGAACTGAAAAAGACTCGGTCGTATAAAGGTAGAGACACCGCCGACATCCTTTGATCCTCCCACCTCCCAGAGTGTCTGGAACATGTCCACCGTGTGATTAAGGAAAAACACACTCCCTTCGACCACCGTGCTGACACAATACTACAACCGTCTACAAGGTGACTGAACCACCTTCTGGTAGACTGATTCAGTGATCATGTGGTGCTAGTCAAAAGGCGAAACACACACACTACCTACGACGTAATCACTCTAAGGTCAGGCACCTTCCCTAGAACCGACAACGTCTGAAACGCCAATACCAGATTATAACAGGTGTCGAGGACAACACTTGTCAGGTAATGCGTTGAAACCACCCGGTGTTGTAGAAGGGTAGGATTAACACCGTCTGTGGTAACCGTTTACAAACTACACCTGAACGTCGTCGGACAGTACCTTTGTGTGGTTAGGGTCCACTTGTCACACAGTTGATTGGGGGATGAAAGCACATTGACGTACCTAGAACTCCCTGTCTATATCTCCCCTCACCCCTCAAAAGCGAAAAAGGAACATGCACGACTCGAACCACTTAGGTACAAGGTCACGGACGAAGAATGACAATTTCGGTAGTTACCCTCTAACAATCCCCGTCCAAACACACCAGACTACGATATTAAAAACATGGTAGTTCATGGTACAACTGCTCTCGGTTCTCTCTACCACCGTGGTCGGGAGACGACGTCATAAAGAACCTTACTAGGCAGTTTTCTCTTTCTGCTTGGTTTCTAAGAACGCGGTTGATAACACGGACGAGCCGTAATTCACGTACCGTAGTGACCAGTCAAATCTGTCCGATAGTACTCTCGACCAGGTTAAGTAAGAGTTTTCAGGTCTTCACACAGAGAAGGAAACACTTACACGGGAGTCTACCACCTTCGAGTCTTTCGTCAGCACAGAAAGTCAGGATAACCACCACACTTAGGGCAAATAGATGTCAGTCTGGTTCAACAAGGTCGGACCAGAACATGTTGACTCGCTACAGTCAGTTAAAGTTCTGTCCCCTTCACAAATAGTGACAAAGAACAGAAGGTTCTATACGGGTGATTGACACGTTTTCCGATACGGTACCCCCCCCCAAAAAATTCGTGTCATAGTAGAGGTAGTAACAACAAATCCCTACGCGACGGACCGAAACAACTATGTTACTTCTGTCTGTCGCTACTACCATGAACCGGAAGTTACCGTTAGTAAGTGGGAGAGCTCGAACTCGGTTGTCTCGGACAGGAGTTCCGAGTTCCCGTGTGAAGGAGTGTAAAGACAGTTACAACATCCAACCGTAATACGTTTGGACTCTTGGACGTCGTCCGAGGAAACGTTTTCTTCGTTCATCCAAGACACCCTACACTTACCGACACCCGGTCTAGCCAACACATGTCTACTCCATAACAACAACACGACATCAATTTAAAGGGGCTGAATCGATAGTATACGAAAAACAAAACTATAAAAGTCGGCTGTAGAGAACACAAAACGGTGGAAGACGGACAAACAGAGAAAGTTATATCACCTAAGATCGGTAGAGGTAGTGATTAGCGAGAGTCCAACTCGGTAACCTATACCCGACTTCAACACTCCTTCACACGAAGACACTCCAATGCATATGGTGACATGGTCTGTCCTACAATACTTACACCCTTACTCTCCTGTGCATTTCCAAGTAGACAAAACTGAACTGTCTTGTGTTACGGGTCCAATCACGACCCCCCCGAACCTAACGAACCCTTTTGCTTCTCGACTCTCTATCCCTGGTTAGTTCGACACTGCGAACTGTACCACTCCAATTTTTAATGGTCGTTCTTGCATATCTCTTTATGACTTTTTCTATTTTTTGTTAATTATTTAACTTATTAATTTGTGACAACAGTAACACAGTAGCCAAAAACATCCAATCCCCAATTGGTTTACTGTGATTACTGTTACTACTATGTTCACCACCCTATGTTTGCATTATTTGACCTCCACATTGATCTAAATGCATTTTCTTGAATTCTATTGGTCTCAAAGGTATCACCAACAGAATGGGCACCCTAAAATGTGTGGGAAATGACACCTTAAGTGTTTTTCTACAGTGTTTGGTTCCAAAGTGAGGCATTTTTGAGTATTATTGGCGGCCATCTTGGATTTGACCTCTCCCGGGCCTCAGAGGTCAAATCTGACTTCCCTCCACATCTGAAAATAAACCTCATGGTATAAACTAACTATGGTAGAAGTTTCATGTTTCTTTCAAAAAGTGCACAATTTCATGGTTATCCGCTCTACTATAGCTAAAAAGGAACTAGTTACTCAAAGTGTTGATACAATTACTGGAGTGAAAGTATGATATGTGTGCCTCTAAAATGTAGTTGAGGAAATAATTAAGTGATATACTACAGTAAATATCATTTTGTTACACTTCACCACTGTTAAGTTGATATACCTTGTTTACTTTAACACTTAATACAGAATCATTATCTTGTATTGGAAATGTTTCATGTTATTGAAATTCCAAAAGATAAGACATAAACGCACCGTGGAGCCAGACTTACTTGGCAGCTGGCAAAGGCATTCAACTCAGTATGTATGTGTCTGTGGTCCTTCAGGAGCTTCGCGAGGACAACGAGACGCTCATCGAGACCAAGGTGCTGTTGGAAGAGCAGCTGTCAGCATCCAGGGGGCGCTGTGACAAACTGCACACACTGGAGAAAGACAACCTGTTACTACGAGCTAAACTAAACGACTTGGAAATGGTAATATGCAATGCCATGAGTCTAAACTACACAAATGATAAGTCAAAATGTCATGTGTCTGCTAATTTACAGGTTTTCACATAAGCTTGAATAACAAAACAGCCTTTCTTGTTCATAAACAATTACCGTAGTGTTGTGCCGTACGTCCTATACTTGGGAATGAGTCTTAAAGACAATGTCTTTTTGAATGAGTAAATCTAAGGTGAAGAGACTTTCACATTTTGTTCTACGACATAAAATATGTCAGTACATACCCCACTGGTGAATGTCTGAAGCTTTTACATGTCATAAAAACTGTGATTGCAAACCAGTAGCTAAATGACACTACTAAATGTCATCACTTCGACCATTAGCCACCTTTAGCTTAGCGGCGATGACCTAAAGTCATGCAACCGCCATGTCGTTTTATAGCCTAGCTAACAGTAGCTGTTTTACTTCTGGCTATTGTATTCGTGCCTCAAAAGTGGTGTTAATATGTGGAGATTATCCTGCTGAAACAAACCTGTAGCATAATCAATGTTCATTTGCCACAGCTCTTATTTCCTGCAATATTCCATAATCCATTGAAAAATTCCCCTTGCTTTTTGTTGAGGGAGCCCTTGTGATGCTAACTTCCGGGTCGGCCTACAAAGATATGTCATCACTGCCCCACTCTTGTAAGAGTTCTACATGAGTTATGAATCAGGGCTTTTTTATATGCTAATGGTCTGTTTCTGGGTGTTGGTACTTGATGTCCCTAAAACAATGCTCATTAAGACCCTTATTAAGAAAACATTGGCATTCAAATGTTGCAGGAGCGGGACAATGAGCGTCGGAGGATGGAGGAGCTGGTGGAGGAGAACATGCTGCTGGAGATCGGACAGAAACAGAGTATGAACGAGTCGGCTCATCTGGGCTGGGAGCTGGAGCAGTTGTCCAAGAACCATGACAACACTAACACAGAGAGTAAGACATACTCATTATTGAGTGGTGACGCAGCATCCAATCATAAATCTAATCGATAGATTTATGATTGGAAAATGATAAAAGTAGAGTAGACAACTAGACATGTGGATATTATCCGGCTGAACAAAACGTGCATTTATCTAACAGGTTCGTTTTCCACACACCTTATTTCCAGCTATTTTCCAAAACCCTATGGAGAAATCCCATTGCTTTTTTGTAGAGGAAACCCGAGCGCAGCTTACTTCCGGTTTTTAGGACGCGTCAATGCACCTCTCTATTGGGTTTTACTCTTCTGTTCTCTACTTGGTCAAAACTAAAATATTATTTTCTTTGAAGCTCATAAATCCTTGGTCCACGAGCTGAACGAGTGTGTTTCCAGTCGGGTGTTGAAGCTGGAGAAGGAGAACCGAGAGCTTCAGACCTCTGTAGAGAGACTGAAGGAAGAGAACCACCTCCTGCAGGAGCAGCAGCTCCACACCCAGGAGCTGGACCGGGAGAACCAAGGCTTCAGCAATAAGGTGTGTATACAAGCTTCTATTACTCATTTCTCTGTTACTATTAGTTACACTAACTTTCCCTTGGTTGTTTCTTAGATTGAGCGTCTCCAGGGTTTATTGGAGCAGGAGAGACTGACTAATCAGGACATGGAGTCTCTGGGGGAGGAAATACTGAAGGAAAAACTGAATCTGGAGAGAGATATGCACACTCTGAGGGCGGAGAAAGACAGACAGGTATTTCAAAACTCTAAAGCATGTGTTGCACACAAGTCCAATGAGTGATGCATCCGTATAAACATTCATGGACACGTTTAAACTTGCTTAAAACTTAAAATATAGGAAAAAAACACTGACTGACTATACTAAGATACAAATACACAGCTTATTATTTAGTTAAAGGTGGTTACACTACTTGTTTTACTCCATATGAGCTAACAGGTAACACAGTGTTTCACATGACAAACACGTCATTTCACCGGATAAAGTTATGATAACAATCATACTAATTTTCATATCTTTTTTAACACTTAGATGTTAATTATACATCTATATCGCTACGTTTATACAACATTTTCATCGTTAATGTTTATTACAAGAGACCATAAAGCCTAATCTGTCCCGCAGTTTCCGTTAGCCGGTACTTACCGGACTTTCCCCTTAGCTCAATACAGCATCAGTTGCACCACTTACGTGACAGACAAGAAGAGTACATTCTAATGTCTAACATTTAATGTGGAGAAAGAGATTTATCCTCCTGAAGGGGACATTTTGACCCCTCATGTAAACAAATGCATAATGCTGCGCTATGCTTTGCCGCCACACCCCGTTGCCAAGCAACGCTTATTGTTTGGTGTCCTTTGATACGCAAGCAGTCATATCTTTAGCTAGAACTAGCTAGATCTGATCGATATGGACATAAACGCGAGGGAAGTCTAACCAGACGCGCGAGAGGGATCAGAGAGCAGATCAGCTGCTGCTGTCGACGGAGACACGCAGCCCTGCATGATCACCTGCAGCTCTACATGATGCAGCTCTATGATCACCTGCAGCTCTGTCCGCTGTGACGGACCGGTGTGCGGAGCAAAACACACACAGCAGCTTTGAAAAAATCTTGCAAATCTTGGAGCTGGGCGTGTCTGAGAGCTTGGGGATTTTTCGCCAGCAACGCGACCAACAACCAATCACATGAATCTCCCGCCCCCGGCATACAAAGCAAAAAAACCCGGGGATTTTATGCGAGCAATATATATATATATAAACTCCCCAAACAGGCGAAAACCTACCAGTTTCACATACTGTCTCTGCCACCTCCCTCCATGCCTGGTTCCTCCGGTTTGTATCCCGGTAAATAGTTCTGGTCGTAAAGAACCGGGTGATTTGCTACCGTAATTTCTCGTTTGGAATATGAGGAAATGAACTGCGGTCTGGCTCTCCCAGCTTGCACGCAGTTTGATTGGCTACTATGGCTAGCGCTTGTACTGTCAGATTTGCATAAACGGGATTTGATTGGCTGACGCTTCCAGCTCAGCTTCAAAAGTTGAACATTGCTCAACTTTTGAATCCTGAAAATCCTGTAAATCTTCGCTTCGCTTCCCCACAATGCAGTTCGGCGAAAAGCGAGGCAAAGTGACGTCACTCCCATTTAAAGTCAATGGGCAGAGAAGCGTTGGAAGCGTTGGAATTTTTTTTAAAGCTGCTGTGTGGACGTACCGTTCGGCCTGTCCACACTACAGCTTAAAAAAAAACTTGCCGGCGGGCGTGTCTGAAGCTCGACCAACAACCAATCACATGAATCTCCCGCCCCTGACACACAAGCAGCTGTTTGATTGGCTAGAGCTTGTACTGGCATATGATTTGATTGGCTGACGCTTCCACCGAAAGCTTCAGAAGCTTCAAAAGTTGAACATTGCTCAACTTTTGCAGCCTGAAACGCCAGGAAAGCTCCGCTCTGCTACCCACAATTCAGTTCGGCGAAAAGCGAGGCAACATGACGTCACCCCATTCAAAGTGAATGGGCAGACGCGTTGGAAACCGTTTTTGAAGCTGTCGAAGCTGTAGTGTGGACGGGCCGTGAACACACTTAGCTATTTGATCTACCTCTGGAACAAGCTAAACTAGTTATACATATGTTTATTCTTCATTGT